CCTATTTCGCGGTCCGGTCTTATACAAACTCATTGTATAGGATACCCCCATTCGCATGTCTCCACACGAACGACCTGGATCGAGTCGTCTGTAACTTTACAGGGTGGGCCGTATCCATAGTGTTGCCAGGATAAGGTACCCAGCCTTATCTATATACTATAGACCCTTTAGGTTATTCACGGGACATTATCCATCCATATATTAGGGGTATATCAAATATATACCCCGTATATCAACTATATACCCAGTATATATACTGTCCCGATTACATCATAAATAACCTTGGATGTTTAGTTTATTGGATTTTGGAAATTGCAAAGCTATGATTCAATAACAAATTTATTGAATAAAACTTTATTAAATAGACATATGTTTTTACAAAATACAAACGACGAGTTTAGGGCAACACACCCAACAGTCATGACGGATGGTCTCCCCCTTGAGGAAGCCCTCACCCTTGACCTCAAGTATGACCTGCACTTAAAATATGACTTTCACTTAAACGATGACTTTCCCTTCAAGGGTGAGCCTATCAGAAATAGCTCACCCCCAACTAAAGATAGAGCTTCTAGCTGAGCTCATCATCATCTAAAGGAAAAACTTACACTTGATAGCTTCTCCCTAACTAATGAGAGAACTTCAATCAGTTAGCTCACCCCACTTAAAGAAGAAGCTTCTATCAGATACCTCATCTCAGTTAAGACGAGCTCTCATCAGACATCTCATCTAGGTCAAAACGATAAGTTCATGTGAGACAGGTCACCTTGGCTAAGAAAGAACTACCATATAACTCCTCTGCCTTAAGGATGAACTTCCATCATCAGATCATGTTCGAGCAAGCACGACACCCTACTTAAGAATTGCTTACCTATACTCAATGGAGGCACCAAAACATAAAGTATGCATGTCAAACCTTAAGCGCCCAACTTAGGTAAAGCTCCAACTTCAGACTCCTAAACACCCAGCTTAGCCCAAGCTCATCCAAGCTCCATGCGCAAACTCTCAAGCTCACAGCTTAAGTAAAGCTTCTCCATGTTCTGAATCGAACTCTTTGGCCGAGGTTCTCAAAGTTCCCAACTCAAGCAACGTGCCATTAAGGTGAATGTATCTCCTAAGGCTAGATAGTAAACAGATCCTAAGATTATAGCTTGTGAAGAGAGGGCTCACCTCAACCCTAACAATGAGCTGCCATCGGAGTAGCTCATCTCGACATTATGGAAGAGCTATAAGATAGCTCACCTCTACGTCAACAAATGAGCTCTCATCAGAGTAGCTCATCTGACATCAACAATGAGCTTTCATTAGAATAGCTCATCTCTACGTTGAGAAGAGCACCCATAAGAGCAATTCATCTCAACATCAACGATGAACTCCTATCTGGTAGCTTACCTTTACCTCAACGATGAGCTTTCATTAGAATAGCTCATCTCGACACCAACGAGGAGCTCCCATCGGAGTAGCTCATCTCGACATCAACAATGAACTTTAATTAGAATAACTCATCTCGACACCAACGATGAGCTCCCATCGGAGTAGCCCATCTCGATATCAACGATGAGCTGTCATTAGAATAGCTCATATTGACACTGACGATGAGCTTCCATCGAAGTAGCTCATCTCGACATCAACGATGAACTAATTAGAATAACTCATCTCAGCCTCAATAATGAGCTTTCATCAGAATAGCTCAACTCGACACATCAAGGAATAACTATCCGATAGCTTACCTCAACCTCAACAATGAGCTCTCAGGTAGCTCACTTTGACCTCAATAATGAACTCTCCATCAAATAGCTCATCACAACGGCCAATGGATGAGCTCCACTAGATAGCTCATCTCGGTATGAAAGATGAGCCCTCAACAAAACTCACTTAAGCTAAAAAGAATGAACCGCCATCAGATATTGAAATCTTCAAGAAGTGACTAACCAAGATTACATCGACTTTGAAGACCGAGGCAAACTAGAGTCGAAACTTCTAAAAATTAGCTCAAGTCTTGACGACAAGACCTTACATAAAAGAGAGCATGACCAAATTTTTCATAGATCTCACCACATATTAGTATGACCTATGAAAACAAGTTAGCTTCCTAACTTACCAAAGTGGGGGCAAATGTTGGAGGCAAAAATAAATTGAGAGAACATTTTGTTGTATACGAATTTTATAATAATTGTTTTCTTAATCTTTTATAAAATAATTTAGAATAAATAAAATATAATTTGTAATTTAAATTATATACCCATGTAAATGATTATCTTAAAAAAATTAATTAAATATCAACACATGGTCATTATAGCTGAATTGCAATAATTTAATATTAATCAATCAAACACTAGAATATGCTTTTTAGGTATAACGTCTAAGCCAAAACTAAGCTGTAACTCAACTCGTCTAGAAAATAATATCCATATGAATTGTTTACTATTCATCAACCTCAATGATATTAAAAAAAATCACATGAAAAATCGACATTAAAATATGAAAAATATCAATGAATATAATACTATTCATTGTTAACTTATTTAGAAATGATGATTTTTTTTACGATCTTTCTTTTATTTTATAACTTTTTAAAAAATATCTATTGACATCAATATTTTATTGATATTTTCATCGTATCGAGATTTTCTTTTATTTTTATAACTTTTTAAAAAATATCTATTGAAATAGAAATTTTATTGATATTTTCATCCCGATATTAGATGTATATTTAAGACTTTGATTAACACATGCACCTATAGCTTCCTTTATTTTACAATATTGTAAAATAATAATAATAATAATAATAACAACGAAGAAAAAAAAGAAAAAAAAATAGGGAGGAGTGATGGCGCTCCAGTATAAAATGAGCAAATTCAGAGAGTGCAGTGTCAGTGTGTATTCTGAAACTGAAGAAAAAATTGAAAGGAAGAAATCGAAATCCGTCGCCATGATTCTGTTTGGCATCAACACCATTCCTTTAATCAACGCAATGTTAGTCCTGGTTCAATTCGCTCTGAAAGCCGACCTGAATTGCACGCCGGGAATGGTCTCCCTGATCTCCACCCCAACTTCCGATCGCTTCACCGCCGCTCTCCGTCTTGCTCCTCCATTCTTCATCTACTACCCCCTCAATCGCTACTTCAGATGCACCATTTACGCCGACGCCTTCTACCGCATTCTCTTCAATATGCTCTGCCGCGGTTATTCCAGAATGGTCCTCGATTACGACGAACGCATCAATGAAGATCGCATCCTCCTTGTCTTTCGTAGTTTGAGTAAGTATTCTTTTCTTTACCTTTCTCTTCTCGCACAATCAATCTTGCTTCTGATCTTATTGGAGGATTTCTTGCAATTTCTTGATGAATTTTAACTCTCTCGTCTAATCTAATCTTGCTTGATTCTTGATTGTATTCGGTGAATTTGCGTTGCTAGTTTAATTTATGCACCTTTTTGTTGCCAAGAAATCTGAATCTTCGATTCTTTTTTGGTTTCAAGAACAGAGTTTATTTGCCGTACGATTAATTGCGATTTCTCAAGTTCTTTAGAGCGAAGAAGTTTGATCTAGCTCTTCCAATTGCGAACAGGTTTTTACGACTAGAAATTCATTCTGAAGTTGCGGTTTCTTTAATTAGAATTTCATTCTGAAATTGCGCACTGAGTTTGAGCGGACTTAGTTTGGATTAGAATTTCATTCTGAAATTTCGACTTCTTCAATCTGAAACTGCGAGTAGAGCTTTATTAGAATCTCATTCTGATATTGCGGTCAGAGTTTTGAATTAGAATTTCGTTTTGAAATTGCGGTTTCTTCAACCTGAATCTGCGAACAGAGTTTTGCAAATTGAGTTCGAAATTAGAATTCCATCCTGAGATTGCGGTTCCCTTTCTTCAATCTGAAATTGCGAATAGATTTAACTAGAACTTTGATATTGATATATTCGTTATTTTTAACTGTTAATGTCAATTCCAGTGCGTGATGCGGAGGAGCCATTGACTTCTGGATTGGTAGTGTTACCCCACGAAAATCAGGTGGTGGCCGAAATTGACTACAGATATTTTTTCTCAATTGATTCAGAAAAGTTCGCACACATTGTAACGGAATTACATTTTTTCTACGATACAAGTAAGAAATTCAACTCTTCCTTCTTTTTCATGTCGGATTTGGTTCGTAGAAACTGGTTTGAGTTTGGGTTGTCATTATTGTGGCAGTTCATGTTACTATGACAGATTCACAAGTCAAATTCGCTCTTGGTGCTATCGAAATTGTTCTTACCAAAGAGGTATTGCCTTTAATTTTCTTTCTAATTTTTTAGTTCAAGTTTAAGATTTAAGGTTAAAATTGTTGTTGGGTGCAGGAAAATGAATGCATAATTGGAAGGATTGGGGAAGAAGAAGAAACTCATTTCGAAATCTATGTGAATCCAAAAAAATTTTTCTATCTTTTGCCAGCTCGCTCGAAGAGGGTATGGTTTTTCAAGTCACTTGAATATTCAACTGGCAGCGTGGGTACTATAATCGCTGCCCCTATTGGACTGTATGCTCAAATGTGGGTATTTTTCCCCCATGAAACCCCTCAAAATTAGACACTCCATATCAAATATACCATCAAAATTCAAACTTCTATTTCTATCCACTCAACTACTTACTGCTACTGATATAAGTTAAATTTTTTGCGGGTGACATGTTTTGAAATACATAAAAAATTTTTGCTACCCATTACGATTTTTCTAATATTTAATGATTTTCATTAAACTAGCTAATAATTTTGTCCTTAACATCTAAAAATTTAAATCTAATTTTCCGATTTGTTTTTCTATAGAAAACTTCGAGAGGAATTGGAATTTTTAAAACCAAAGTATGTTTGGAGATATTTAGTATAATAATTAATACCTTTAATCTTTAATATAAAGATTAAAGGTATGTTCTTTGAAGTTCATTGGGTCTATTTTTCTCAAAGATCACATGACAAATCTTTCCTACAAAACATTGATATTAAATATCCATCCCCTCTAAATAGAATTGAAAAGGTAGAATCATACGTTTTGTCCAATTACAAATTAACCGGTAATAATAATAAAACTATATGTCATTAAATCGAGACCAATTAAAAATTTGATAAGTGTATCCAAATTCAATTAAAAAAAAAATTTATATGCATGAGATTTTGACGTGCATACTACCAAAACATGTTTGATAGTAATGCAATTCATGATTTCGATCTCATCCACAGGGCAAGCTTTTAAGCTTAAAACACTAATGAATCTTAATACCTTTCAATCATCATATAATTCATACTATTTTTGCAACTTTTAAACAGTTTTAACTATTGAATAATCTACTCATGGTTTAACACGAGTGTTAATTAGAGCATGCTCGTACGAAAGAAAGATGGAAATTACGTAGATAATTGAACCAATACAAAATGGAAATTACGTAGATAATTGAACCAATACAAATAATAATAGTAGTAATAATAATTTGAACATTCTTCTCAAATATAGCTCATCAATAGCATTTGCATCCCTTAAATTTCACGAGCAAGAAACAAGTACAAACCAAGTGAATATCTATATCAAAGTCATTCCCCTAAAGAAAGAAAATAATAAAATCAATATTACCCTAATAAACATATATAAAATAATATACCTACTAAGTGCGTGGTTTAAGCAACACGAACATATAAAACATCTCATCAAGTCATTACTTATCTCCCTTAAGATCTGAGATTTGAATCGTCTCACACATTGTTGAATAAAAAAAATATAATAGTAAATAAAATTACATGGGAGGAATATATACATACAACAACGGTAGTATTAGAAAATTTCTCTATCATCCTCCCCACTCTCGTTCAAGTCTTAATTTATATGTCTTGTCAATAGAAAAAAATCAACAATTTGTTTAATACGGTCGATCTATGAGTTCTCTCTATCTTGAACAAAAAAACTTTAGATCCAATAAGAGCATAGGAAAAAAGAGCGGTAAAAATTTGTCTTTGAAAAAGGGGGAAAAAGGGTTGGAAGCTCTCCCAAAGAGCCAAGAAGAAAGGGTGTGCCGCCAAGCCTAGACCATAGTTATTAGCATGATTACTATTATCACAGTCAAAAACTTGAAATAATATAGATAAAAAGGTCGTTCTCAAATGGTACTGACGTGGCAAACAATGAATAGAGTAAGTATGAAAAGTTTTCGCTAATGTCCAAAAAATTATTTTTGAAAATTTTGTTATATAAAGATTTGGAATTTTGTACCAGTATCCTCATCTATTCATTTTTTTTCAAAAAAAAAAAAAAAATTTATTACAAAGTAAAGCATAGATTTTTCTAAGGACATAACATTTTCTAAGAATGAAATAGGATGAAGTTTTGTATCTGAGTCAGTCAAACATCATCCTCATATCTTCTCTCTCACCACTTCATTGGATTTTGTTCGTTGAAATCTGTTTATTCTCTTTCATTTATTATTTATTATTTATTTCTTAGTTCTTGATCGTACAATTTTCGTTTTCTTCCTCTCTACAGAATGAGTCTGGCATCCTCTGTACTTCTCGATGTGTCTCAACTCTCACAAAATTACACATGTTACAATTTTCTCAATTGATTTGAGGTCTTTAAATCTTTAAAATTACAAAGATTTTTCCTCTTTTTTCTTCTTCTCAAAATACACCTTCAAATCTTTAAAATCAAAACTCACCTTCAAATCTTCAAAATCAAAATGGTAGAAAACCTCCCTACAACCTACTTCAAAACAAAGAAGAGATAGAAATCAAAACCCTCGAGTATTGCCACCGTCGATTTCTTTTGCAGCCCTCGCCGCCGTGTGAGAGGGACAGTACGATGCCGCCGCCATGTGAAAGAGAGAGAGAATTTGCTGCCTCTGTGTATAAGTGAGAGTGAGGGAGAGAGACCGTGGATGGAAGCGGTGGGTTTTTGTTTGTGATAAAAGGTTAGGGCAACACATTTTAAACATCGGTTTTATCGGGTGGTACCGATCCGAACCGACTTTCACTGTAACCGAACCCGAACTCGAACCGAATTGGACACTTACACCCCTAGTATTTGGGGTACCATTGTCCTGTTTTTTTCCATTCTTTTTGGGATTTACTTTGTTGGATTTAATTTAGGTCTCATTCTCATAGGAAGTGCCTTTTTTTTTTTTTGCCATTGGAGTACTTTATTGGGAACTTGGGGCACATTAACATTGTACAATTTTAACTCCAAAACAAAGATAAAATTCTCACTTATAGGAATTAGAGACTTGATATATAGTATTTTTTTTCCTTCTGAACAATATGTGGAGGTCGAGATTTGAACCTCCAACCTTTTGGTTGATTTGATATCGTGCATTATTATGAAACATTCAACATGGTGCTACTACGCATATAAATTTGATATCTTAATATAGTAAGTTATGACTCATTAACGGAGATTATTAGCTTCAAATAAATAAAAATTGACTTTATCAATAAATGAGTAATAATTTAGCCGTATATGATACTGTGGGAAGTGAGATTGAGTGGGTAGGGCTTGTTTGGTAATGTTTCCGTTTTCTTATTTCTCTTTTCCAATTTTTTTTAAGAAATCTAACCATTTCACAACTAACCATGTTTATTGTTTCTCATTTCTTAGGAACATTTTCAAAATTGTATATAAATTTTGGAAACAATCAAAACAAGTTTCTACTTTTTTATTCCCATTTTCAAATTTGTTCCACAAAATAAATAAAAAATTTGTTTATCATACTTGAATCTATGAATGTTATAGCATGCAATTCAATTTTCTTTATTAAAAATAAAGAAACAGAGACAAGAAACAAGAAATAGAAATGTTACCAAACGAACTCGTAGAAATGCCGGTCACATAAATAATTTTTTTCTTGTCCATTCCGGTGGAAAATGGGCTTCTCCCCTTTTATCCAGAATTAATAAAAGATAACCACCGAGAAAAGTACTTGAACCAAAATTGACTCTGAATCAAATGTTAATAGAGCTATCTGTTTGTTTTCTGATTTACTTCAAGTCTCGCTGCGGCTTGTTGGGCACTAAATACAACAATCGATCAGACAATAATTCTGAAATATCCATTGAATATAGGAAAATAATAATAAAACTTAAAATAACAATAAAACTTAAAATATTTAACTTATAATATTTAGTAATTTTTTTTAATAGATTTGTTTCGATATAAATAGATGAAAAAATAAAATTTCAAAATTTTAGAATTTAATTAAATGAAAATATATTTTTTATTAAAAGAAAAATTATATTTATTTTATTCGAAAAGAAAGAAAAAGGGTTTACACAGTCGGAGATTCGAACACAAAATGGGGGCAATGTCTGCTAGATATATATCATAACGTATATCACTTAATTCTTTTAAGTCTTCCTTATATGATCTGTATAAATAAAAAAGGCTTAAAAGAAATATTATTTGTAACTCTTTATACCAACAACGCACACGAGGGCTCTACTATATAAAACAAAAAAAAGAGACAAATTCAAATTCAAAGTATTAATAATCATGAGATTTTATTTCAAAAACAATTGACAATGGGAGAAATTCTTCTTGACTGGATCTCATTTTTGGATCGGATATGCTCGTTTGAATTTTTTGGATTCTCATACTAAATTAATATTCATGAGTTTCATCTTAAAACTAATAAAAAATAGTCCATGTTATAATTCATTCTTTTTCAACGTGGGATCTTTTAACACAAAGTCCGAGAATTGTTTAAAAGTTGAGAATTAATTGAGACCCCAAAATTGGCCATTTCTTCAAGTTCTCTCCATTGCCATGTTCATCTTCAGGCTTAGAGGCTTCCATAGTTTGTCAGATGCGATTTTCCTACTCACTCAACTTACCACTGACCACACCGCCGACCTGAAATGCTCGCCGGCGACCTTCTCTCTGACAGTCTCCAACATCGGCCCTCGCTTCTCCGTCGCCCTCCGATTGGCCCCGCAATCGTTCATCCACCATTTCGCCGACGGGACTCACCGTGCCGGGATTTCGCTCGACGTCCTCTATGATCATATGAGGGAAGCCACGAGATTTTCTTCAATGACCTTCACTCTTTCTGGCACTGCTCCTCTCGTCTCCCTTCAATTTCGTGGTTAGTATATGATCATCGATCTTGGTTCTAATTTTGATTGGTTCTTTCATATATATTATGAGAGTTTGATTATTTGTGTGATCATGTTTTGATTTTTATGATTGACTTTTTGATCTCAAAGAATCTTGTTGCTTTTGGTCAATTTCAAGAACACAGCCTAATTATTTGATGTGTGTAAAGATAAATCTTGTTTGTTTTCCGGGCACGAAAGTTTGAAATGACTTGTTAGGCACCTAACATTTCTTTGTTTTCAATTTTTTTTTAGAAACATAAGCATCCAACGACGATTAATGTTATTTCTCATTTCTCATTTTTAAGAAAAATGATCCTAAAGTTATGTAAAAATTTCGAAAACAACAAAAAAAACCATTTTCTTTTTCTTTTTCTTGCTTATGTTTTTTTTACAACATAAAAATGTTGAAAATTTAAATTTTGTATAAAATTACTTTTTTTAATCTAAAATTTTAGACAC